TGAAACTTGGCACAGAGCATCCTTAGTGTAGGGGATTCAAATTGTTCTTATGCAGGGCAATACCTTCAAAGAGATTTGTTTCTTTAATGCTGTAAATGTATTATATTTAGCTTGTACAATATTTGTTGGAAATTGACTTTTGAATAAGTTAGCGTAGATATTCTTATTTATGTTTATGTACAAGACTTTTAGCTTTGTACTTGATTTAGTGATTGCTGCATTCCGCCAAAGCCGCTAAAAAAGAATACACAGCCATATGTAATATGTTTACAATATACCTTTCAGAGAATTTTACACTCCTATTGAGGTACCACCAGTTGCTAGTGGAAAGCTGCAAATTCGAAACATACACAGCACATTTCTGTGCGTTTATTATAAAAGTATTGTTCTACTTACTGATTGCAACTAATGAATATTGTTCATCATTATTGTAAACACATTTGGATTTTTTGAATTATTATATAATTTGTTTATTTTATTTACCTAGTTATATTGTATATTAAATGATTTTAAAGCCATATTTAAGATGGTAATGTAGCAAAACACTTATGTTTCTGTAGTATGACACGTTTCACAAACATAATTGCAACAAACATGGTATACATGTATCCGATATCAAAAGTCATAATATTGGAAGTTAAACTGTTGTGGATACGATTTCAAGAATGCTGTTAGAGAGAGTACCCTTTAGACCTCATGCTCACACCAAATTAAAGAATTCAAGTAAGGGTTTCTGAGACAAATCGAAAAAGAGAATGTTAGCAAAGTTGACAATCTAGACAGAAACATTTAATCTTTTGCTTATCGCTAGGAAGGAAGACCCACTCGTTGCTTTGCAACGAGCTTTGCTCTAGTTATTATTATTATTGTTTTTTTTTCTTACCGATTTTGTGCACGCGAGTTCTCGGAAACGGCTGGTTCGATTTTCATGAAACTTTCAGGACTGATAGAACATCAAACAAAGCTGATATATGATTTTTTGTTTTGATGACGTCACTTCCGGTTTTGAGATTTCCGCGATTTAGTGATTTTCAGAGGGTCAGTTTGTCCGCGAGTTTTCTCAGAAACGGCTTAGGATAGAAACTTGAGTTTTTCAGCAATGATAGAGCGATATATGTAGATGTGACATACGTATTTCATTTTCACCGGAAGTGCTGCACGTCGGCGCGCGCTATGGCCAGAAAATAGACCTATCGCGAATTTCAAAATTTTTAACACTTTTTCTACGATATCTTTTTACCAGGAAATGTTTTGTTAAAATATATAGAACAAAAGAAGTGTAGAATTTTAAGATCTTTCAAATGGTATCTCTAGAAAAGGGCTGGCCCCTAAAATAAGGGGCCTAGAGGGGCCAGAAGTTTTTCCTTTATATCTCAAAAAGTATTGAAAATTTGTAATACGTCAAAGAAGCAAAGTTGTTCAAAATGTCAAGCTAAATCTATTAGAGTCGTCAAAATACGTCCGCCGACATCATTTCCGGCCAAACCGGAAGTAGTCGGAAAACGTGTATTTTTGCCGTTCTTGACAAGTATTTGGGTAACATATGTCTCTGGGAGCATAAAAATTAATTTTCTGTCCGTCGTCATCACTTCCGGTCAAACTGGAAGTAGCAAAAACTGGCTTATTTTTGCATTAATTAACATATGTTAAGAGTATTTAAACCATTTTTGGGCGTTATTACTCATTTCTTAAAAAAATGACAGTTACTTCCGGTCAAACAGGACGGAAGACCTACTCGTTGCTTTGCAACGAGCTTTGCTCTAGTTATTATTATTATTATTCCTGGGAAAATTTTGTCCTTGAGTGATCTTGTAAACTACACATCCGACTAAGGTAAAATGTTTTTAGGGTCAATAGACATGTTATGTAGATTTGCCAAACAAAGGTCATTTTGCGCGCACGTGCTTTCAAGAGCGCGCACGTGCAACATGTAATTGACCGATTTAATTGATATAGGCGTAACTTTTTAAATTTTTGATGAAATGCTTTGAAACTCATAATGTAAGGATATATTAGTAGTATAGACAAGATGACAAGGTGAAAATAGGAAGATCTCACGCGCATGCACGTGCGCTTTGCTCTGATTGGCTGAAACTAAAGTCTCAATATCTTTCTTGTTTTTTGAGGAAATCCTCTGAAATTTTGAACATAGCCATGCATTAGGATATCCTACAACATGATGTATAGAAATTATCATGAAAACACGTGCATGCACGTGCGCTGCAATCTGATTGGCTGAAACTTTAAAAAGCTATAACTCCCTTGGTTTTCAACCAAACAGGATGGGATTTGGAATATAGATATATAAAATGAACTTCTACAAAAAGGTATGGTCACCATGCACATGCATACACGTGCATGTACGTGAGCTGCAATCTGATTGGCTAAAACTTTAAACAGTTATAACTTCATTGGTTTTCAACCAAACAGGATGGGATTTGGAACATAGATATATATAATGGACATCTACAAGAAGGTATGGTCACCATGGACATGCATACATGTGCGTGTACGTGCGCTGCAATCTGATTGGCTGAAACTTTAAACAGTTTTAACTCCCTTGGTTTTCAACCAAACGGGATGGGATTTAGAACATAGATAGATGTAATGAACTTCTACAAGATGGTATGGTCACCATGCTCATGTATGCACGTGCGTGCACGTGAAATGGGTAAAATCAAAAATACACTTGAATGAGCGAATTTTTTAATACTTTTGGATTAAATACTTTAATATTTAGTATATTAAAATATATAGATTGTGTAGACAAGATGATATGGTCATTACGTACATGCATTCACATGCAATGCTAAAATTTGAATGAGCATGGTACATTTCTGGGTAAACATTGTTAAAATCTCAATTGCATAGAGATTGTGTTATTAAATGAAGCTTACAGGGAATATGGCACCAAAAGGGAGTTGGGAAGCGTTTGGGGAACATCTGTAACGGTCCCCGTTACAATTAGCACTAGTTTATATTATACTAGGCATGTTATTAATTATAAAGCCACGAACACAATTTCCCCATTTAAATAAGCAACAGTAATTTCTGTTCATCAATACCTGTAGGATGTTGTCCTTGAAAAGTTTTTGAATGTCAGGTTTCCTTTGTGGGAGAGAATAAGATATACTCTGTATAAACTTTCACTTTGTAATGCATGATATATTTTCCTCAATTTCCCAAAACATTTTTCATTAGATTACAAATCTATACAAAACAGTTATCCAGTGTACAATATGATGAAGAATCTGGGTCACATCATGAATATATTTTTAAAAATCGGATTAAAACTTTCAAGCATTTTTAAAATGATTTTTTTTTTGAACTCACTGATCCGTATCTGAGTATTAAGTAACACGGAAGTCAGTTGTTACAAGAAGCAATTTTTAAAGTATAAGGAAACGTATCCCCCTAGAGAGGTAGGATTTTTCAATCAATTTACGTACTTTATATACGTACAAGATATCAGGCTTGGATGATTTAAACATGTACTTCCTAGAATACGTATATAATTAGATGTACATTGAATTATGATATTTTGTGAGAAACGATCTCTGGTTTTCGGAGGGGGAAGGGGGGGAATGACTTTAGCATTTTAAATTTAACACGCTCAGTGTTAAGCTCATTTGAGGGAAATCTGGAATATATGTTATTTTCTCTACCTACTGCATTTATTTTGTACATGTCACATAAAATCTTTCAAGGAGATGGTGTATTCAGATCGGGTGTGGTGTTCGATTCCAGCCACCCTTCCTCCTTAAACTTCGATAAAAATGATGAAAAAATAAAAATAACAATGTACCAAAAACACTCATCTGACCCTATCGTGCCCTAGCATACCCAATTTTATCCTCATCCAACCCAACTTTTGAGGGGGCCAAAATTTTCAAAATTTCCTTTTTAGTAAAAAATACTGCAACCCCCAACCACCCGTTTTGGGAATAAATCGCACTATGGGTTGTTGAATATGTAGGCCACTGTCGAATTTAGAGCCCCCTTCCCTCACTGAGTCCAAATACACGATTTGATAAATAAATTTTTGGTGTAGTTGTGGGCCCCTGCCAAGACCCAAAACTACCCCCTCCTTTTCAAGATACCTGGATCCGCCACAGTAAGCAGTCACGTGAAGGCTAATTAATCAAACGTGAACCACTAAGAATCTAACAGATAGTTTACCCTTGAACTATAATGCGATTGTTTAAAGCTCTATCAGATATTTACCAAATCGTGTCAACGAAGAGACAGAAAGATCTATTATAATTTTTTAGTCAAATCAATAAATTGTATACATTGTGGTCGATCTAATCATGCAAAAATTGGCTTCATTTCTTTTTTAAAATCCCTTTTTTATACTGATTTCAAATGCCTATATTAAAAATACATTCTCGGCTACTGCTTGATTAAGCTTTGCGGACAATCTGTATTCTGCAGGATAGATTAGAAAATATTAAATTGATTATAATTATTTAAGATACATGTATCGACTCCGATATACATTTTCAGTACTGCTTCGAACAAAAAAATATTTTTGATTTTTATGGGAAATATTGTTGATTCACAATTATTTAGAAAAAAAACTTCTCAATCGTTGACCACCTTTGAGAGTTAGAAGCTGCTTTCAGTGCATTTTGTTGAGGATGCTTTATTGTATATGATCACAGAGAAGATGCTAATAATAATACCCTAAATTCACGCGAAACACCATCTTGTCAAAGAATTATTTTACAAAGGTTATACACGTGCTTTTACGTTCTTTGCGGTACTCTTATGTCAACACTTTCCTCTGGTTAGTCAAAAGAGACGAATATAAAGCAAACACGTCCAAGAAGGTACAATTCCGGAAACCATTCCCAGGTTTTATTATTACGCAAGCGGATTACTTGATAAATATTGCAGATGTGTTTTCGGGTGATGTAACTTGTTTGTTCAATTAATTGATCTTCTCACTGTTCAATATCCAGGTCCAACTGGTTTTGACACCTTAATCAAAAATGTATCATGGCAAAGCAGACCCCCCGAGGCGACAAACTGGCCGACGAAACCAGTACGCTTATGACAATCCCGCATTATCTGAAACGGCTTCTACCCCTAGTATCTTCACAGTGGAGAGCTCAAGCTCACTCGTACACAAGGACGGTGTCTCACTCGACTTGTACCCGGCGCTCCGGAGAAACTCATTCGAATCCGCTTTGGAGACAGGAAGTAGAAAAAGTTGGCGAGAATCAACGGAAAGAATGTCGGAGGATCCTGCCAAAACGGCTGGTACGTCTACGGACGCCCTCATTGCAACGGAAAATGGAGAAGGTCCGAAAGAATCTAAAGAAGAGAGGGAAACTTGGGACAATAAAGCTCAGTATATCCTAGCAGTCGTTGGGTGAGTAGTATTTTTATTGAGAGTGTAAATTTGATTCATCTCATAGGATTTTGTTAGTCCGAGATACTCTCTTCTTCACGTTCTTGCGATTGTCACGATTTTGGTATTTGACCCGCCAGGAAATCTTTCTTTCCCCGCACCTCAAATATCAAAATCGTAAAAAAAAAAAAAAAAAAAAAAAAACGCCTGGAAAAGGTCAGATATTTGGACAAAGGGTATTTTAATTGCTATTTTAGATATAATCATTTATGGAAACATTTTTTTAACGGGGATATCCTGCTATTCCGCGATTCGTTTGATATTTAGTTTTTAATTTGACGGGGGTGGGGTTTAACTTTTTCCCCACCAAAACAGATACTATTAATAGGCCTATATCATCACAAAAGGAATTGACACAAATCCAGCGTTATAGAGTCAGAAAGAGAGTCGTAATTGAAAAAGAGGGATAACTAATATTAAATTGTACGAATTTTCTTCAACGAAGGAATGAAATAACCGAGAAACTGATTGAGTTAGACATAGAAAAATGCATGTATGGAATAAAATACAGTCAGTTGTGTTGTAAACCATTATTCGTTGAGGCCTAGGCTGCATGGGTACACAATCTCTCTCTGATCAACTTAAAAAAAAATTCTGAAGTCTTTATTAGTAAATAATTACTTCCCAATTATTTTTAGAAAGAAATTTGGTCTTAATTTGTAAACAATGACCAGATGGCATAAAGTATAAAGACAGAGATTGTATATGGTTTGAAAAAAAAGTGCAGGCGACTATACCCCGCTGATTTGACATTTCTGCTAATAAGGCAAAACAGCGGGGCGCCACATGTGCACAAAATCAGAGACCCATTGCCGACTGTAATTAGTACATTTACCATGTATCCATAAATCATCACTACTGATAAGATGTTTTCTAAATACTCAATATTACTTATTTATTAACCATGTTAATCACAAGAAAGATTATAATTGCCAGCGTCAAAATTATGTCAACTATATGACATGGCTTCGTCTCTATTTTTTTATTGAATGAAAAACTCGTATAGGTTCCAAATATTCCTCTAAACTCTCAAATTGTTTTCTATAAATATATAATCAAAATCGTCTATAAACTAAATTTTATTTTGCAGATACGCTGTAGGATTGGGAAATGTTTGGCGTTTTCCATATTTAGCACAGAAAAATGGTGGCGGTGAGTTGATTAATAACTTTTTCATTTGTGCAATAGATATTAAGAAAAAAACTTTGTCATGACTATACAAAGCAAAAAAGAAGGGAAAAAACACGAATTTAAAGCTAACTGACCTTGAATAGAGGACACAGTTTTAAATGATGCATGATAAATGAACCTGTGAGTGGGCGATACCTGGTTATGAATCTCGGTGACAGTGTTAAATAAAAGAAAATTGAAGCACACGCATGGATTAAAGTGCATTTTGACTAAAATCAATTTCATAGGACATATTACATAAACGTCTAATGTAAAAAAAAAAATATATAAAAAAAATGGGGGGAGGGGAATCACACACAAAACTGCACATTCATCAAAATTAACTGAAACTGCGGTACATGTATATCCTATACTTTGTAAGACAACCTAGTTTGTAAATAAATTTTAATTACTGAAATTCACATTTATTATAGGAGGAATATAGAAGAAAAACAAGAACTATTTAATTAATTAAATTTTTATAAAATTATAGTAAAATATACTATAATACTTTCACAAAATATTTTACGACTAAGACTAAAATTTCACCACTCTGTAATTTTTAATTTTTCTAAATAAATAATTACAATCTAATTATAAAATATGCAATATTATAGAAAATTGAGATTTTCTCAGTTTTAGATATTAGTTGTAGAATGGGGGAAAATGTTTAGTCTTTTTCGTTTCTTTGTGAAAAGAGCCACCGGTGTCTTATTTTCTATATTTTTTCCATAGGCGCTCCCCATGTAATTCTGTAAATGACGAAATATAAGTATATATATAGGTCTACCCCTCTATACTATAAACTATGGATAGTTTATAGTATAGAGGGGTAGACCTATATATATATACTTATATTTCGTCATTTACAGAATTACATAGGGAGCGACTATATAACATTTATATTTCGTCATTTACAGAATTACATGGGGAGCGCCTATGATTTTTTCTTACTTTACAGGTGCTTTTCTCATACCGTACACAATCATGTTGGCGATTGAAGGCGTTCCCATCTTTTACTTGGAGCTTGCAGTGGGTCAGCGCTTGCGTAAAGGTGCCATTGGCGCCTGGAACCAAATATCGCCGTATCTTGCTGGTATCGGAATAGCTAGTGCTATGGTTTCCTTCTGGGTCTCGTTGTATTATAATACTATAATAGCCTGGTGTCTGTATTATCTAGTCAACAGTTTCCAGTCTCCCCTGCCGTGGGCTGAATGTCCTGGAAATGTCACGGAGTGTTCGGTTAGTTACTTTCGGGGACTCAGTATAAAAGAAACACAGAATTTCCATGATTCAATAAATTTCATTGTATAGATAGAAAAATCTTTGAATTCATAAGTTAAAGAACCTTTGCATTATCATTCATCTTTAAATAGTAAATACTCGATTTACCAATGCTGCACATCAAAACACATATCTAAGAAACTAATTTTAGTATCATTTAACTATAATCCGGGTCTATACCTTTTCCCTCTGTCTTTTTCTTTGAAAAAGCATAAACTTTTCTAATCGAATCGCAATTTACTTTTTTAGTATAAAATATATAAATTCTTAATTTTAGATGAGTGGCTCAACCACATATTTCTGGTATAGGGAAACTCTCAACATCTCACCTTCCGTTGATGAACGCGGGACTTTGAACTGGTGGATTGTGGTCAGTCTATTAGCAGCCTGGCTAATTGTTTTCCTGTGCATGGCAAAAGGAATAGCATCTTCGGGCAAGGTACGCACATATATATAATTTCTGAAATGTTCTCCGAGAACTGTATCTCCTTCAGTATTATCTCCAATAAATCTAGTTATCTGATATTTGAAATTCATTTATTTTAGGTTGTGTATGTCACGGCAACTTTTCCATATCTGGTGCTCCTTATTTTTTTCTTCCGTGGTGTGACGCTTGAGGGGTTTGAAGAAGGAGTGAAACATTTTTTCGTCCCGGATGTAAGCTTTTCAGTTCCCGTTATTTCTCATTAATTCTACAGGAATTTCTATTGATGGACAGCACACATAAATAAATCATTTGTAAATTGTACATGGATCATTGATGAATGTATTAAACAATTACAATGTTTTGGAATTATTTGTTTTTTTAATTTAAAGATCATTTAAATTTTTACTTATTTTTCAGTTTTCACGTCTTGGAGATCCGCAGGTGTGGTTAGAGGCCGCAACACAAATTTTCTTTTCTCTTGGTGTGGCTTTTGGGGGCTTGATCGCCTTTTCCTCCTACATGCCAGTTCGAAACAACTGCTACAGAGACGCCATCTTAGTTTCTGTCGTAAACTGTGGCACTTCCGTCTTTGCAGGAGTAGTAATTTTCTCAATTCTAGGTATATATTTCAGATTATGATCAAAGAATATAATATATTGGAGTTTATAGAAAAGGGAACAGTGCTACTAATTTCATTTGAACATTTTATTAAATTCTGGAACAATTCGATGGGAACAGACTCAACCTTAGGACAAAACTGACCATCGTTGAATACTATTGGAAATGTTATAATTATGCACATTCTTTCTTAAAGCCATTCAATAAAATTATGCCTTTGGTACATTTTCAGGATTCAAAGCAACACAGAGTTTTAAGGCCTGTAATGCCCAGAACGATTTGTTATTGAGCCAAAATATGACAACAGGTTTCTTGGCATGTGACATCAAAACAGAGATACAGAAGGTAATCCCCCCTTCTCCTCCTCACACACACATACAATATAGAATACAATAGAATATTTCTATATATTCCTATTTATCCTTCAAGCTTCTGCAAATGAATATATGAGTTGTTCATCAAAGAAAAATAAGTAAAACACTTTATCTGACGTAAAACTGTTACTTTTTTGTCTTATTTATAGAGCTGATACAAATTTTGTAAAAATACCAACCTATTGCCGTTTCTGTCAACTTTATTATCATGTTCGTTCTGTGAAATAAAGAATGCCACACTGTTTAAGGCAGAGTGAATGACCAGTGAAATCAAAATTGCAAAGTTAATTATTTAATCTCTTTTTTTTTTTTAGAGCGGATCAGGAACAGGCTTGGCTTTCATTGCCTTTACAGAGGCCATTAACCAGTTGCCCGCTGCCCCCGTGTGGTCAGTGTTGTTCTTCCTGATGTTGCTGACCCTCGGACTGGACAGTATGTTCGGAATGTTAGAGGGGGTCGTCACCTCTATCATCGACATGAACCTCGTCAAAAACCTCCGTAAAGAAGTGTGTGCAGGTAACAAGAACTTGTTAATCATTGTAAACACTAATTATCATTATCAATATAAAATGAAGGTTCCTTTAATGTATTTAATGTTTAATTCTCATGAAATACATATTTCCTGAAAGAGAATTTTCAAGTGCTCCCAAAAGTTATGATTTATTTTATTTTAACATTTGTTATAACTTTAGATTTTAGTAGAGGTACTTCTGAACATAAACTAAGTGTACTTACTGTACTGTTACTGTTGCCTGGTTTTGTCTCTGGTTGTTAGATTTAATCCTATCGTGTTTACATTGCATTTTCCCTGTCTTCCAGCTGTCCTTTGTTTGGTTTCCTTACTGATCTCCTTCTGCTTTGCGGATTCAGCGGGCCCTTACATTTTTGTTCTGTTTGATGAATACAGTGGAAATATCCCTCTCCTTATCATCGCCCTTGGCGAACTCCTCGGACTGACGTACGCGTACGGACTAAAAAGGTAAGATATCGTACTAAAGAGTAATTATTGCAACAGATCATGACACAAATTTGTTAAAGCTATACTAACCACCTTTGAAAAGAATACACTTGAAAAGATAATGAAAAAAAAAATCAAATTTTACTTTATATTTTCAGTTGATAAATGCTTCGTTTTTCTCATTTCGAAAGGTTTGGTGACGACATTGAACTAATGACAGGACAAAGACCTAATTATTATTGGTTGATTATGTGGAAGTACGTATCTCCGTTGGTCATCATCGTCATTTTCCTCGCAAGTTTTATCAAATCCATGATCAGCAGCGCGACGTATGAGGCATGGATTCCATCCATAGTAAGTTTTAAAAATTTATTCGAGGAAATATTTAGGGACGTTTTTTTCTGTATTTTATTGCTTTTCGATTGCTTTTTTATTTGATCTATCTCTCCATTAAAATTGAATAGAAAAGATGACGTTACACAATGTTGATGACGCAGTGAGCTGTTTCTCTACAGTGTAAATTTTATTTTATTTTCAGGCGGATAATGTAACAACAGAGTGGCCAGCATGGTGCAAGTTTATAGCAGCAATGTTAATTATCAGCGCCATGGGGTGGATCCCCCTAGCTGCAATTGTGAAAAAATTCAATCTTGTAAAATGGGAACCGGAAACGCCAGCGGAGTTTCCGGAAGAAGAACTTGTTGCCGAGAGGGGAATAAAACCTCATATACCATCTGACAGAGAAAGGAAATGGCTTTACTGGTTAGAGAAGTTGTAAGAAACGAGATTGGTGCAATATAAACTGTCTCTGTGTCCACTTTTAGATAATATTCAATGTAAAATATTTTAGCAAGTTAATTTAACAAAGTTGCATAGATTATGATTTTATACTTTTATATGCAGAAGACCTTTTTACAGTACTTCCAGTTTATAGAACTAAGTTGCATCAATTATTATAGTTTTTGTACTTTTATACGAAAAATTGTTTTCAAGCCACTTCAAACATTTTTATGAAAATAAAACAATTTCCATTGCTTTTATAGGAATTATCATATTATGCAATACTTTAGTTTTTATGATATTGTAACATTAAAATATTTTATAGTTTTATCTATTTTGACTTATTAATCGCGACACAGAACTGGATTTTAGATTGATGCTTCCGCTTAGCACAATCTTTGAACATTTCTATTTCTATCTGTTTTCTTTGTGATAACTCATTGAAAGTTAGTTGAGTTGATTTCTTGAAAATTCTACCGGAATGTAAATTTTCGCTCAGCGAAAGGTAAAGAGCTAAGGAGGCCTAATATGCATGTAGATCTTGTGCATTCGTCAGTGGGCGGGGGCTATCGAAATTGACATGGGAGGCCTCGTGTAATTTAAATCTATTAGACAACATTTTTAAAATATGAAATTTATTTCACAATCAGATGGAAATGCATGCATAAGGAATCACTTTCTAGTTTGTCGGGTTTGCCAGGGACAACAACGGTAATTGGAAACGGTGGGTAATTTATTCACTCGTTGTGCAAATTATCCCACGTTTCCAGCTATCGTTGATGCCCTGGCATACCCAACCAACTAGACAGTGAAATCTCGTGCGTCTGTCTTAGTGACTGACGTCAGTGGACGGGGACTATTGAAGTTGACATGGTCGATATCGTTTAATTAAAATCTACTAGACAACATTTTGAAAATCTAAAATTACAATGAAACGAAAATATAAGTAATCACTTTCTAGTGTGTTGGGTATGCAAGGGCATCAACGATAGTTGAAAACGAGGAATAATTTGCATAATCAACGAAGACAGTGAGTTCTTAAATAGTATTCCTTAAATAGTATTCAAATTACCAATATATCCTATCTGCAAAAGTACATCTGACACGTCACAAGGTTGTACAAGGTTGCAAATTTGCACTCTGCAAAGTCAGTCATGTTTCAAAGAATGGTAAGCAGATAAATTTTTAGGGGATTGACTACAGGTACATTGTATATTGTATGCACTTTTAAAAGATCAGTAAAAGTTTGAGAACAGAGGAGGCGGATTTAAGTGAGAAAAAGCAGATCACAAAGCATTTTATATCTCTTTTATGCATTGAAAAAAAGGCGTTTTTCTTATTTGAGATAAATGATTTTAATCGTGAATCAAGACATTTGGATGCAAGCTTGCACTACACATAGGCATTAATATCATTTTGTCATGCACTTAATACCCGTAAATAAAAAGGCGAAAGTAAAAGAATGTTCTTCTCAAATCAGTAACAAGACCCCCACCCCTCCCTCAAATATTGGGAAATAATTTCTAAACATGCAGTTTCGGTACAACTTGCTGTTATTGATTGGTCCCCATCATTTCAGTCCAATCTAGATGAACCTGTATGGTACGAAAATTTTTTTAAAAATATTAAAACAGCTTCTTCAGTGACTGTAGTCTTTTGGAAGTTGCACCAGATGACAAGATGACCTGAAATAAAAATCTTCTAGCACTTAAGAAATCAAACCATAACATGCACTCTATGAAGAGAAAGCTGGTTCCGACTACAATTGTACCTGCAACTGGAAGATTCACAAATTCTTTTAGATGAGATTTTATTCTTGTTTGGTACTTTCATATTTTTGCGATTTAATTGTTCAATAAATCATGGTAAACGACCTTTCTCTTCTCTAAAATTTTATTCAACATATTAAAGTCGCCCGCATGGCGCATTGGTTAGAGCGTCTGCTCTAAAGTCGCGAAGTAAAGAGCTAATCATTATGTCGCGGGTTCGAATCACACTGTGGAACGTGGAGACCGGTGTTTCGGACGAGACCGGAATATAAATCGAGGTTGTCGCAGTAGGTGCTAGCACGAAAAGATCCTGCCTCCTCAATGGCCCTGAGTGCCGACACTTGCAGCTCTCTAACGGCAAGTGGTGTCGTCTCCATTTCAGTGAAAATTTTTCGAGAGGGACGTTAAACAACAAACAAACATATCAAAGAAAAGTCCATTTGAAATTTCAAATTTTAGAAGTTTAAAATAAGTCTTGGAAGCCCCGGAGATGGTTCAATATTCCGGAGGAAGGGGGGGGGGGGGTTCTGTCCACAAATACCTGTGGTACTTTCAAGATCTTTAATGTTTAAGAAAAAATCGTGTTAGTGCAATATTAAACGAGAACTTAAACTAGAACTTTATTTTCACAGATTTATAATTTGAACTTACTTGGGGGTAAATTTAGCATAAACTCCCACCAAGTAAATTCAAAATCTATAGAACATGTCACGTGTCGTGAACTCATTTTTTAAATTTTCTTATGCATCAAATCTTTACAGTAAAATGACAACTGTGTGCACTTTTCATGTGAAATTTTTCACCGATCTAGGTATGTCGAAATGTATAGTACTAAGAAGTTAACTTGGAATTATCTAACCTACATGACCCTTGACGCATGATTTTCTACGACTTTTTAAGAGATAAAGAAATCTGGCCAGAGTACCGCTAGATCTCCGTTCACAAAGAAGCCGGCGAAATGCTTCGCGTTTTCAGTTTAATTTTACTGCAGATTTCTTACAGTTTTTGTCAAACTACCCAGGCAGCGGACCCCTATGGATACAGAATCCATCAATTTGACGGTCATTGTAACCCCGATGGTACCTGCACCTATACCCTGACCATACCGGTCAAAGATTCCCTCGTGAATCCTCACGTCATGGACAACTCCACTGCCTCAGCTATGGTGGAACACCTTGCCAACCACGACAAACAGATTGACCAGATTCTGGGCCTTTTTGGCCACAATGTCTCCACTACTATGAATCTCATTGAAGAAGTCAGTAAGCTGAAGAAAGAAGAAGACAATTTGAACGGCCTGGTCAAAATTTTAACGGACGAGGTCCACAATCTGTTGACAGAGAACGGAGTTTTGAAAAATCAGCTAGCATATGTTAACCAAACAGTTCTTACAAAGCTTTCAGGTACGATGGGAAGTATTTTGGTTATTCTTATTTTTTATTTAATGCACTTTCACTTAATAACGTTGTGTTTGCTGAAGTTGGTCAAAGATAAGAAACAGTAAACCACAAAGAACCAAGTATTTGAATCGAACACGTTTAATGAGTGTTGGATAAGCACCCTTCATCAAACAAGATCATACTGCAATTATGCATTCTTGTTTGATCAGTTCTGGTCACAATCAGAGGTAACGAATCAGTTGAAAATTCATTTGGGGACATAATCAGTCCTCAGGGGATGCCCACTCCTCCACGGCATCGGATTCCACCTTTGAAGTTTTAGAGGTCCGTGTAAGCTCCGATTCTGATTTATTTACTGGCCTATCAACTTGAATACTACTCTTTACTTCCATATTGAAGTGTGTCATTTCATTTGTATGAACGGCTTCCAAAACACACGAGTTCTATAAAAAAAAAAACCATGTATCGTGAAAGCCTTTCGTTCAGGAAAATTTAAACTATTTATTTTCTCAATTTATTTTTCTCCGAATTCAGATCCATGTTTGGTGCGTCCATGTGCACATCAAGCCAAATGTATAGCCTTGTCCAACGGAAATTTCACCTGTGATTGTCCACTCGGATACAGAGGACAAACCTGTGAAGAAGGTAATGTTTAGTGTCCCGATCTGCTCTCCATAAAATGCATAAGAAATGTATGCTGGTAAAACTTTTCAATCAAAGGAAACGCTTCACTCTATTGCAACGATGTTATTGTTGTTATTTTTTTTATAATTATTATTTTTTTGGGGGGGGGGGGGGGGGCTTAAATCGCCTGTAAATCCGGTTATCTAGCAGTCCTCTTGTCTACTCTAGGGCAGTAGACCTTTATGGTTGCCCCAATGTTTATTTTTACAATACCATCAAAACTAAGTACGAGGGCTGTTAAATAAATGATGTCCTCGGTGCTCGGAAAGCAACAAAAAACGCTTTTCAAGGATTTAGCCTTAATGATTTTACTTAAATATTCTTTTTTAATCGAAACACATGTCCGTAACATTTTTATCCAATTTCTGATTGTTTTTAAAACACATTTTTGAACACTGCCCTTCGCATATTGGAATATGGCAGATCCTATGATTTCCTTGACTTGTTTTTTCTTTCTGAAAGATGTTTTTCAAGTTTGGAAAATGAAACAAGTGATAGGGTGAAATATCTGGCGAAATTTGTTGATTTGACAAATCATTAACTCTCTGTTTAGTGTTTATCCCCCAAACTACTTTACTCCTCGTGACCTGTGGGTTTGGACGCTGTCATGACGAAATTTAATGTAGTGGTTTCTTGATTTTGGTTCCATCCTCTCCTAAACCTTTCGAGTTTTTTTTTGCAAAACTTTGCTTTCTAGACTTCTCCAGAAATTGAACTGCCTCCCTGAATAAGAATTTGAACAACAAGACTACTAATATCTAAGAAAATGACATATAAAAACTATTTTTGTGCTTTTGAAATTCTTTGCTTTTTTCAGACCTTGGCTGATTTTGTCAAGTGCATCTTATTGTAAATTTGTTTAGAGGGTTTAAAGCAATGAAATCAAGTTTCACTATCTGTTTGAAGTTCAGACAAACGTGGATAACTTCAATTTTTGATTTATAAAATAATTGTTTAGATATTCTTACACGCTGTTGTTTTCACTAATTTTTCTAAAAATAAGGTGGACATTGAGTACTAAGCTTTCATACTGTCAAATGTTTCTTTAAAACATTGTAAACTAGTGCTAATTGTAACGGGAACCGTTACAGATGTTCCCCAAACGCTCCCCAACTCCCTTTCGGTGCCATATTCCCTGTAAGCTTCATTAAATAAGACAAACTCTGTGCATTTTTGACTTTAACAACGTTTTCCCAGAAGGATACCAATTATATTCAATTTTTAGCATTGCACCCAAGCGCATGTGAATGCATGTGCGTTATGACCATATCATCTTGTCTACACTATTTATACATTTTAATATACATGTACTATGTATTAAAGCATTCAGTCTAAAAGTAATAAAAATCACTCATTCAAGTGTATTTTTAAATATACTCGTTTCAAATGCACGCACGTGCGTGCACGTGCATAATGACTATACCTTCTTGTAGGAGTCCCTTATATTTATCTATGTTCTAAATCCCATCCTGTTTGGTTGAAAAACAAGGGAGTTATAGCCATTTAAAGTTTCAGCCAATCAGATTGCAGCACACGTGCATGCGCGTTATTTCATGACTTTTTTTTATATCATTTTGTAGGATATCCTAATGCATGACTATATTTTAAATTTCAAAGAATTTCGTCAAAAAACAAAGGAGAAATAGCCATTTAAAGTTTCAGCCAATCAGATTGCAGCACACGTGCATGCGCGTGATTTCATGATATTTTTCTATATCATTTTGTAGGATATCCTAATGCATGACTATATTTTAAATTTCAAAGAATTTCGTCAAAAAACAAAGGAGATATTGCCATTTAAAGTTTCAGCCAATCAGCTTGCAGCACGCGCACATGCGCATACTTTCATGAAAATTCTTATATATCTTGCGGTAGATCTTCATAATGTAGGACTATGTTCAAAATTTCAAAGGATTATGACAAGAAACAAGAAAGATATTGAAACTTTAGTTTCAGCCAATCAGAGCGAAGCGCACGTGCATGCGCGTGAGATCTTGCTATTTTGACCATGCTATCTTGTCTATACTACTAATGTATCCTTACATTATGAGTTTCAAAAAATTTCATCAAAAAATAGAAAAGTTACGGCAATATCCATTATATTGGTCATTTCACGTGTTGCACGTGCGCGCTCTTGCAAGCACGTGCGCGCAAAATGACCTTCGTTCGGCAACTCTACATAACATGCCTACTGACCCTAAAAAGGTTTCACCTAAGTCGGTTGTGTAGTTTACAAGATCACTCGTGGACAAAATTTTCCCAGGAAGAAGAAAAATAATAATAAGAATAATAACTAGTGCTAATTGTAACGGGAACCGTTACAGATGTTCCCCAAACGCTCCCCAACTCCTTTTCGGTGCCATATTCCCTGTAAGCTTCATTAAATAAGACAAACTCTGTGCATTTTTGACTTTAACAACGTTTTCCCAGAAGGATACCAATTACATTCAATTTTTAGCATTGCACCCAAGCGCATGTGAATGCATGTCTACAGTATTTATATATTTTAATATACTATATATTAAAGCATTCAGTCCAAAAGTAATAAAAATCACTCATTCAAGTGTATTTTTAATTATACTCGTTTCAAATGCACGCACGTGCGTGCACGTGCATGATGATCATACCTTCTTGTAGGAGTCCCTTACATCTATCTATGTTCTAAATCCCATCCTGTTTAGTTGAAAAACAAGGGAGTTATAGCCATTTAAAGTTTCAGCCAATCAGATTGCAGCACACATGCATGTTCGTGATTTTATGATTTTTTTTATATAATTTTGTAGGATATCCTAATGCATGACTATATTTTTAATTTCAAAGAATTTCGTCAAAAAACAAAGGAGAAATAGCCATTTAAAGTTTCAGCCAATCAGATTGCAGCACACGTGCATGCGCGTGATTTCATGATTTTTTTCTATATCATTTTGTAGGATATCTTAATGCATGACTATATTTTAAATTTCAAAGAATTTCGTCAAAAAACAAAGGAGATATTGCCATTTAAAGTTTCAACCAATCAGCTTGCAGCACGCGCACATGCGCATGCTTTAATGAAAATTCTTATATATCATACGGTAGATCTTCATAATGTAGGACTATGTTCAAAATTTCAAAGGATTATGACAAGAAACAAGAAAGTTATCGAGACTTTAGTTTCAGCCAATCAGAGCGAAGCGCACGTGCATGCGCGTGAGATCTTGCTATTTTGACCATGCTATCTTGTCTATACTACTAATGTATCCTTACATTATGAGTTTCAAAAAATTTCATCAAAAAATAGAAAAGTTACGGCAATATCCATTATATTGGTCATTTCACGTGTTGCACGTGCGCGCTCTTGCAAGCACGTGCGCGCAAAATGACCTTTGTTTGGCAACTCTACATAACATGCCTACTAACCCTAAAAAGGTTTCACCTAAGTCGGATGTGTAGTTTACAAGATCACTCGTGGACAAAATTTTCCCAGGAAGAAGAAAAATAATAATAAGAATAATAATAATAAGAAACAGAGTAAAAACAATATGTTCCCCAACTTCGTCATATTAATAAGAAACCGAGTAAAAACAATATGTTCCCCAACTTCGTTTGGGGAACATAACTACCCCCAAAATGATGCCTATTAGTTTTGCTATGTGTTTTAAATTTAATCAAACGTCATCAGTGACTATTTGTTGAATTTTCTCAAATATTACATTGGTTGTTGTAAGTTTTTGTCGCCAAGGACGGTACCCATTTCTGATGCCCATTATATCATTTTTGTTCATTGAAATTCAACTGCTCATGTGTCTATGAAACAGACATTGGTTGCTGTAAATTTCACATACCGGGTATTTCAGGGAATATATCTTCGGGATTCTTAACGAGTTTTACAGCAGCTTTCATGAAGCGTTTATTTTCGCTCTTGTTTACTGATTCTTTTTTTAATGCAGTGTCTCGAATAGCCCTTGTTTACCAGCTCCTCACAATGATACTATGTGATGAAAAGTGTCAAATAAATTGTAATCAATTTATGAAAGATTCAATCATGAGAAAACGTCAAGCTTAATGTCATATGATTTCTATATTGTATGTCAAAGAGCTCAGGACATTATTTATTGAACAGCCCTAGTAGTTTATAAAATCAAAATGAATCTGGGGGGATTAGGCGAGTCATATGCCCACACGGATTTTGTCGCTCTGTAAGCATATCGGAAATTTCATAGTCGTACGATTTACCTAAACATTTAAACTTTGTACAGCACTGTCCAAATGACAATGTACATGTATATTTTTAAACCTTGCGGTTATCGTTACAGTATATTTAACATGTAATGCTTTTCATACTACGTGTTAATTGTTCTATCAAATATTGTTTTTCAGGGGTTGGGAGATGGTACGCTTTACCTTTCCTTTTAACTGTGTTTTTTTGCATGCAGAACAGTCATATCGTGCTTGTCTACCCATGATTGTTTACATTTCAATCGTATAATGTACATGTAGTCTTGAACTTAATGCATTCAAAATGTTATATATCTTGAAAACTTGTTTAATATAGGAAAATATTAATTGACCGTAAAAAATTCATTATCTTAATTATTCAAATTGTTTTTACTGAAAAAATAGATTTATTTATAAATTTCATTCTGAACTTTAAAAAATCGTGATTCGAACACTCGCGACTAATAACTGGATACTTCATCACAGCCGCTATGACCACTGAGCCACGAGGTCTCACATTCATTGCCCTTTAAATAACAAACAGTTCTATATGTATAGCAAACTCAGAATTGGACCTGGAGTTTTTGAGAATATGTTCCGAAATTTAAGTAGGTAAACTAACTTTTTTATATAGAGTGGGTCTTCGTCCCATTTTTTGGGGGAAAATGGTGAGAGATACATCCTTCCATACCCTTTCAATATTTGTTTACAAAAAAGTGGTACGAAGACCCACTCTATATAAAAAACACAGTTTTAACATCCCATTTCTATCATTTTTACGGTTACTAAAGTGTGTTACCATCTTGGTGGGTTAATTACAATCAATTTCTAAGTAATTTGATTCAGGTTTTATCTTTACTGTACGCATATGGTTATAAATAATTCCTAAATTTAGCAAAAAGTGGAATTGTAAACAAAAATTAATTGATATTTTACCTGCCCTTGCGAAGGCATATGACTCGTCTAATCCCCCAGATTCTTTTACAGTTAATTAGTATATTAATGATTAACAGATAACAAGGATCACATGATAATAAATATTTAAAAAAGAATATTTGTCGAGAAAAAAATACTTATAAAAATGCATATACAAACTAGTACTTTTACAAAATACCAATTAATACAATAATTCAATAACAGCATTTCAGAGACCATTCTCGTCCATCTTGCACTTCATTGATAAACATACACTATTTCTACAATGATGGTTTTCACTAAAAGTACAGCATTAAAAATATGCAACATTTTTTTTTTTTTTTTTTTCTCAAAAAAATATATTTTTTAAAAATATTTGTTTTCAAATGATACTTTCTATCTGTTAATCACTGATGTATATTTATAAAGGGTGTTAAGAAAGTTCGTTCCACATTTTTCTTTTATTTTCGAAAAGAACAACAATGAGAAGATATTTACAATTTGTGATTTTTCATGTTTACAGAGTCCATTCTTGCTACTGATAAGTTTTTAACTGTTTTTTGTTGAATTAATAAGGGGAGGGTAGGTATTAAAACAGATGATGTCTTTTCAGAAAATCAGGGATGACGCATATTTGTGACATATATTTGGCACACAGGTCAAAATATCCTTTCAAATACTATGCAAAAATTATCAATTAAGTCTGAAAAATTTCAAATGACAAACCTATATTCTTTTTGAAAAGTGATCTATCATTGTTATACCTTCGTTCATCAGCTTGTCTGATGCAAGATAAGCTATGAAGAAACAAAAGTAAATTATCCTTTATTTTCACTCAAAATGACCAATATTTCTATCAATCGGGTGCTTTAAAGATGTTAAATATATTTTCATATGGAAGATAAATCCTTCACTTTCTTGCTAGAAATGAAATGCTTTTAATCTAAAGCACACTCTTGTGATTTTGTCAGACTTGAAAATTCATCTCTTTAGTTAAGCACTACTTTGAAAATTTTGAAAATATTTCATCATGGAACGAACTTTCTTAACACCCCTTATATTGTAAAAGTTTTAACTTTATAGCTCACATAGTTTTGGAGCTATTGTAAAAATAAATTTTTGAACATCTTGACCATCGGTCAAACCTTAAACTTTGAGGTTCGTTTACAAGTTCTTTCATACCAGATATTCTATATCAAACAAAGTTTCTTATCATATAAAAAGATAACCTCAGAAGAGGTAATGAAGTCAAGTGCCTGTTAGTGATGCATATGCAAGATCCATAAGTACTTTCCTTGACTAAAATGCAAGAATGACTGGCCTACAAATATAATGAAATTGTCTATTATATACCCTTTATGGCCCCATGTCAAGCTTATCAGTATTGATATTATCTACAAAGACCATGTCCTTATGGAGTGGTAATTGCAGTAGATTATACCTATGTCATAATTTTATTGTGTCTTGAGATTTCAGTTCTTTTCTGGCTATATTTTGTTGATTATTGAAGGAAAACTGTTTTCACTTGAAGAATCTGTGCTTAAAATCAAACAATTATTTTTTTTGTTCTGTATGCTTCCTACTGCCTTTAAAAAGACGCTATTGCTTTAAGTGGTTGTTAGATTTATAGAATAAAATATGAATACTATTTGTCAGACGTCCTTATTTGCGATACGATTTATTCATTAATTAAATTGAAGAAAACTGAACTTTTGAAGGAAAAAAAAACAATTTACCGATAAGCAATTCTGTATTTGATAGCCATTTCTTTTTTTTAAAAACGGAAATTGATGAATTTTTAAGCTTTGTTAATATACCCTTTATCCTGACAAGCAACTATCACATAAAAAATAATAGAGTACTAGTATATCTGCACTATACTTAACAGTGTTCTAACACTGGAGTCACAAAATTTTGAACATTGCATTGGTAGACGTCAACGAATGCCACACAACTGGAATCTGTGGACACGGAAGCTGTACGAACATCTACGGAGATTATGTCTGTAACTGTAACCCAGGATACACAGGACCAAACTGCACGATCAGTAAGTATCAGTCATCATAGCATACACAGGTCAAAACTATACAGTCAGTAAATATCAGTCATCATTACTTACACAGGTCAAAACTAAACAATAAGTAAGTATCAGTCATCATAACGTACGTGTACACAGGACGTACGTGTACACAGGAACAAACTGCACGATCAGTAAGTATCAGTCATCATTATTTACATGTACATTAGTCAAAACCATACAAACAATAAGTATCAATCATCATAACATACAATCAGTGAATATCAGTCGTCATAATTTACACAGATCAAAACTGCACAATCAGTAAATATCAGTCATTCTCACCTAATCACAGGTCCAAAGTCCAAACTGCACAATCAGTTAGTATAAATCATCATTACGTAGACAGGTCAAAATGATGCTGTCCATAAGTATGAGTCGTCTTACTTGACTACTAGTATCTGTAAGTATCAGTCGTTATTACTTAGACAGGTCAAAACTACACAATCAATAAGTATCTGTCGTCTTTAAAAAGGATAACATCTTTATCAAACAAGTCTCTCAATTTTTTTTTCAGGAAATCCATATATTTTTGTACCTTTTTGGAAGAGAGTACTGTTCATTTATAAATAGATATTATCATTTAGAAGAATATGATCTCCTTATTTTTCCTACATATAGTTACAAAATTTTCTAGATGATAACACCATATTTCTAACACTAACGCTGAATGATTTATTTAGGTGTTTCATTGTTGTAACAAGTTTTTAAAAATGTTTCAGACATAGATGAATGCGCATCAAATCCTTGTGAAAATGGCGCCTCTTGTGAAGATTTGATCAACATGTATCTTTGTCACTGTGCCCCGGGATTCTCAGGAATCCACTGTCAAATGAGTACGTATAGCATGAATTAGTTAATTAGCAAAATTTAATTTAAAAAAATATTGTTAATAAAAAATGTTAAATTGTTTATTAGATGTATAAAAATGTTCCGCCTTCGTCAATGCATCAATATGATCACTTAACCTACGGAGGTGTTCGATTTATTTTCTCTAGATATGTATAAACAAAATAAATAAAATACACACCCTCTATAATGCACATACATGTAAACTTTAAGTACTTTCGGTTCTTTAATTTTGGATTTTTTCCCACAGACAATGATGAATGTGAGAGCGATCCATGTTTAAATGGAGGATTTTGTTTGGATGATATCAATGATTATTATTGCGTGTGTGCTCCAGGATGGAATGGAAAAGACTGTGAAAATGGTGAGTTTTTCCTTTAATTCTTTGTTTTGGCATCTCTTTTTGATCAATGATTTTGCACTTTCTCTCTTCCACATATTCGCCTTTTCATATGGAACTTCACCTCAAAAACTGAGATGAAGAAAGTCTGTTATGTATGTGTCCTTCCTCTCCAAATGCTTGACAAGTCAACTTTGAAGTTATAAAATGACAATGATTTCAGATATAGGATGGCAAATTTTATCTATTTTAGACTTTGACGAATGCCAGAACAACCCTTGTGTACATGGTAAATGTGTGAATGATAATGGTACGTTCCACTGTGAATGTAACTCACCTCTCATCAAGGGAAAACTGTGCGACGAGGGTAAGTTTTGATTAATCTTCGGAAACTCTCCGCTGTTTTCACCGATTTTTATTTCTTAAAATCACTTAGTCAAATATCTTCCTTTGGGGGGGGGGGGGGGGGTCTTGGATGCGTTGCATGCAAAATTCTTTACATATTATCCATATTTTTTAAAATAGATAAAACATGATCAACGTTAGTAACATTATTCACAATTCTCTTTAATATGTGTATTCGCTCGGAAGTCTTCGGTTAATTCATTACATGCACCATAAAAAGCAAAACACTTTTTTATTTGGTATTTAGCTCCCAACAGAGACTGCGCTGATTTGAAGGCTTTCTGGAATATGAACAGAGACGCCGTGTATACTGTGAGGGAACCAAACAAGATGTTAACTCTAGCCGTCTGCGACATGGATACAGACAATGGCGGATGGACCGTCTTCCAAAGGTAGGAATTCGTTTTTGTTTCAATATAGAGAACTACGTGTGTATTGTACATAAAGAACTTTATCATTTATACGTTTTGAAGCCTTTTCGAGAATAATTGACATGGTATGTCTTTTTGCAAAGTTGACTCTTTATTATTCGTATATCAATTGATTAGCCAAATACTAGTACATATATATCTATTTTAAAACATATACACTGTACTACCAGAATATGAAGAATCTGACAAAGAAATTGAAATTGCTTCTAAATATATGAACAATTTAAAAAAAAACAACTTTTAAGTATATATTGCATGAATTTAATTTTGCAGACGTGTAGGAAGTGTTGTAAATTTCAACCGGAACTGGAATGACTACAAAGAAGGTTTCGGAAATCTTGGCGCCAGTTTCTGGTGGGGCACGGAAAGGTTATTCAACGTGACAAACAATAGAACCAATCTGGTGCTGAGAATCGACATGATGGATTGGGACAATAATACAGCATATGCAGAATATGATAATTTCTCGGTCGGCTCCGAGGCCGAGCAATTTAAACTGACGGTTGGTGGATATAGAGGAACCGCCGGAGATGCCTTGAATTTTTACTGGTTAGCATTCCTTCAAAGCAATACTTGTGATCTGGCATTATCCCAAGGGTTCTGATCCACTGGATTGGCCCCCTTTTTAGTTTTGTGTCCAAAATGTACATAAATTTTGATAAATTATTTTTTTGGTGTGGCAGTGGGCCCCTACTCCAACACCAAACTGCCCCCTCCTTTTTATCAAAATTCCTGAATCCGCCACTGAGAAATCCCTGATTAAGGAAGATGGGAATCTTTGACCTAGATCTAAAATGTTCTTTTGCTATACAAGACTTTCAAGTTTTTTTAAAAACATTTTATTACTTTTCTGATTATTTTTAACATTGATGGCAATAAACAGTTTTCAACATGGCAACAAAAATAAAATCTTCACAACATGTTATTCTAAACCATTTAATAACAGTGACTATGTGTCTTCGTTTATTTTTAGGAAGGTATTTTCACATAACGGAATGAAGTTTTCCACAAAGGACCGTGATAACGATAACTTCCGGACAAACTGTGCGCAAGTCTATCATGGAGGATTCTGGTATAATGGCTGCTGGGCGGCAAATTTGAACGGAGTTTATTATCACACGCCTGACTACAACAGCTCGGTATGTAAAATGCACTGCAGATAACCACTTTAGGAATGTGATCTATTAAGGAATCATAAAAAACTAAAGCACTAAGAATAAGTAATGAGCAGTTATTTTGGGCAAAGTCGGTCCAAAACGAAGATTATATATATGAATTGTGTGACTGAAAGTATGTTGCATGCTTTACGATCAAGGACCAAGGATTGAGGATAAAAAAACAACAGACACAACTCTTTGAATAAAATTAAAATCCAACTACATATCGTGGTAAATCCTATATATATATTTCTCTTTTTTATTTGTAGATCCATGACGGATTAGAATATTTCACCTGGAAAAGAACTAAATACTCCCTAAAGATGGTGGAGATGAAGTACAGAGCTGCCGATATAGTTCAATCTAACAATACAGCTACATTTACATAAAAAATATAACTTCACAATTTTTAGATATTAAATATGTTTTCCAGTTTTGTTTTCATAAATTAGCTATGATCTTTTCTGATCAACGTTTGTATTTTGTCCGTTGTAGTTAACAGTTTAGCTTACCTGAGTTCAAGTGAACTTTTCCTTTCATAAACTTTTGGCATTTTCATCTTTTCCTCTAGCACTACATAGCAAATTTTAACCAAAGGAAAAAATAGATAGGGGTTAGTTGAAAAAAACAACTGCTGGGTCTAACAGCAAGGCTGAGATTACCGGGTAGTCATTATTAATTAGAGATAGTTTTCGACAGACCCGAATTAAGGAATAGTTACTTCCGTTTGGGCGCCACAGGTCCAACATTCCTTTGATAATTCATGATTCACAATCGGCAATCCTCGGCTGACTCCGCTACACTCCATTCAAACTTCAGTGTGCGAGGTACGAGCCACCCGAGGAGCTCTGAGTGTATTTGTCATCTCCCTCGGGAGATGACACATTAAGATTGTATGCCGGAAGTAAAGTCCTAGTGTAAGCCTCCATTGATTTTTCGGGAATCCTCGATGTTTTACAATATCTCAAGTGAGAATCTACACAAGGAGTTCCAAGTAGCCTGTAAACTGGTTTTCGTTTAGAAGAACTAGCTTAGCAGTGTGTGATCTACTTTCGGTTTAGGCCTATTTGCCTTGAAAGCCAAGGAAAATTTAGAAAAGAAGTACGATGCTTATAAATATCTAAAGTTTTGGTGTGTCCATCGTCTCAAGCCACGGTCCGGAGTCCGCATATAGCTCTCTCCAGAATGGGAGGGGATCGTACATTTTGGCCGTGGTTTGCGACGATGTGGTGTGTCGTACATATATTGATCCTCAATACTATGCCTTATTAAATTGATAAGCCACACAAGGAGAACTGACAATGACGTGATTTCTATATATAGATTTGTAGTAGTATCCATAGTTATAACTTAAATCACTGCATGATACCCTGCCCCTCATTTTTCTTAAAAGTGAACAAAACGTAGGTATAGGTGGCTTCTTTCGAAAGGTTTAAAAATCTACTTGGGTAGGAATTAATAATTTTTGGACTGCTCTTGCTTATGTTAAAATACCTGTCAGCTTAGTTTTCTGTTTGCTAAATAAGTCTTTCGGGAACTTCAGGTATAATAATCCATATACTGTAAATCACTTTTTATTTGCGAGAACTTTATTTTCGCGTAATTACGCGAGACGGCATGCTGGCGAAAATTTCATTCTCGCGTATAATAGAAATCCTTAAGATTATATAGAGCAATGACCACAATTCGTGAAAATTCTGTCTCGCTAATAAAAAGTCAATGATCTCGCGAAAATAAAGTGTCGCGAAAATTGAGTGATCTACAATATTCATTGCATTAAAATATTTCCCTTTCTGTTTTATTTCTTTGACATTATTGATACCAAAGAGATGACATTTCAGGCTTTCTGGAAAGCCAAACTTGTATTAAACTAACTTTAATTAACTTTCCATACGGGTCATTGTGGGTTAGAAGGAAATTCATTTTTTGAAACTTTTTTTTGGTAATTTTAAATTTATGAAGACCAGTCCTTCAAATATTTCTGCTCCACCCTCGTAAATTTGGTAAAACAAAGAGGAAAAACCACCAGATCGACCTCCAATATGGTGGCCAACGGGAAATAACTGCTAATCGGACCTATCTATAGTATATACGTATATATAAAATTTATCCTAAAAGTTTGTTTTAAAATATACATTTTTGATATGCAAAAACATGGAGCAATGACCACTTATATCTTAAAAGTACACTTTTATTACAAATTATTCACATCTTTCCGAGAAATATTTGAAGTCCATTAGTCAAAGGTCAAATCACAAACACGAGTTAAATGCCTCATTTCATCAGGATCCGTGAAGCTTAGTTGTTAGCTTGATAGTTTTTAATAACTTTTACCTCAAATACTTAAATCACAAATTGCCACAACTTCTCCACTTGACCACCCGTCTTCTTCCCAAGACATTTAACGTTTTTTCACATCATAACCCTCGGGGTTAGGATTGGGCTACAATGGGCGATCAGAGCAAAACATGGATATGGTGGAATTGCAATATGCGATCAAAGTCTTACATAGGAATGCATAGGACTTTTTTAAAAAAATTAATAATAGCAAAGTTGTCATTTGGGTCATTTAAATAATAAAATGCTTTCTTTGATTGTTTGTACGGATATTAATGTAGCAACTGTTGCAGAAAAAATACATAACCCGCGTGCTGCTACGGTAATTCCCGTACTAACAACCAAAGAAAGAATTTTATTGTTTATATTTACATCTGTATTAAAAATCATTCAAAGTAATATTAATTTTATTTAAATATTGTATTTAAGATTAATATGTAATTGTATTCAAAACTGATGGAACAGCCATTGTTAAAAAAATCTACGCACGTGGCTTGCTTAGTGTTGTTCACGCACTGATTATACAATGGCTATGGTCTTCATAAGAAATAAAGGGAAAATATTCAGTGGATGTAAATATATCTTTATGAGGTAGTGAATTTCAAGTTCCGTTTAAATTCTGACCCCTGGTTGTAATAGTGGGGCCAAAATTGAGGATAAAGTCAAACGAAGGAATATAAAGAATATACAAGTATAATCAAAAACTTTCGCGATCAACAAAGCCATAATTCAAAAGCATTAATCAAAAACTTTCGAGATCAGCAAAGCCATGATTCAAAAGCATCCTCAGGTAGTGACTTTGTAGATAACATTTATCAATTCGGGGCCCATCCGGGCATACAAGTGAAGAGAAATACAAACAAGAAAAAAAAATTAAATTGATAGCAGCAACATGTAGATATAAAAAGAAAAGAAACTAACAAAATGCCTGTCCATCACACTATATCCAGCAGTCCTCCTGTCTAGTCTAGACAGTATACATTTAAGCTGTATTTTATCCCTTCCTTGTTTTTTCAAGACCGGTATTTCGGTTTGTCAAAACTTGTCATAAGACACATCCAAACTAGTATCAAAAGCATATCCAAATTCAGTGGCGGATCAAAGGTTCATGAAAAGGAGGGAGTGAGTCTGTAGACATAAAATATAATACCTAAACAACAATTATTACCCAAGCTGGGGTGCCCCTTTTAAATCTACTAATAAAATCATTGAAATCAAATATGCATCACCGAATACTAGTATTAGTCAGATGCCTGTCTCGTCTAACTGACCTATCTTTAGACCTTGAGGTTTACAAGTCGTTCTTTATCAAACAATTAAAGTGATGCCACGATACTTATATTTTCAAATAAAAAGATAACCTCAGAAGAAAAGTACTTTACTTGACTCCAGAGCAACAATGATTGGCATACAAAAAATGAGAGTCCAGAAACCGTTCCAAACCCGTTCTCTGTAGACGCCGAGCTATATTTTTCATCGTTAGAAATCGGCACTTCTGTTCCTTTCGATTTCTGTGCTTGGTATCGAGGACGTTTTGGGTTAACTGCATGTTTTATATGGCAAGTTCAAATCGGCAAACGTTTGAAATGCGTTATTCAATCATTTTTGAAGCTAGATCTCACCCGACACTGGTAGCAAAAATGTAGATATTGATTTAAATCAAGTGTGAACCGAGGCACCACCTGAAATCCAAGATGGCAAGTGCAATACCTTCCTTTTTATATACAGTAAATATGACATTTTTAAAACGTGCTGATTTCAGTTAAATTTTATTTTAATGAGGGTATTCAAACACACCTAGAAAAACACAAAATACACCATCCTGAAACCAAGCGCCTATGATTTATTGCGACCAAAAAGTGCGATGAATCTCAATTTATTTCTTCATGTTTATAAAATTGTTGTTAATAGCCCTCCTGGCCCTGAAATTGAGATGATCGAAAATTTCGTCTATTTATACTGACATTTTGGTTTGCAAGATAATTCGATCCAACGCGCTTCGGGCAGATGTCAACTACGATGGTATTTGATAGAGTAAGGACTTGTTTGAAATCTAGATAGAATTAATCCAGAACAAAACGCAACTTTTTGTGCGCAGTAAATACTAGTATGCGTTTTTTTTAATGTGTGGCACTGTAGCTCTCTGTTCTAACAATATATTTTTTCGGAGAGCTACAGTTCTGCAGCTACAGTATATATAGGCATTACTAGCTGCAGATCTGCAGCTAAGGCATTACTAGTATTACTCTCTTGCATTTGTTTGATGATTCTTTGTCCAATTAAAATGTGTCCAAGTCATATCACAAAGGATAGGGCAAGGCCAGAAGATCAAACGTAAAGGGAAAAAATCTTTTAAATGTATAAGCTAAAGAAATATGAACGTGTCCTCGGGTAGTCGGGTAGTGTAGATTCAATTCAAGCCTCTGCTTTCCATTGTGTATTTTTAACTATCAAATACTGAACTAATCTTAAACATTCTTTTTCCTATAGTCAGTCGTGCAAGTGGTTAGAGCGTCTACTCTTCAGTCGCGAAGTAAGGAGTTGATCCACCACTCAGAACCAGTAAGCAGGGAGGGATCTTTTTCGTGCCAGCACCTTCTGCGACACGGGGCCTTGGTTAATACGGTTTTATCTAAAGGACCGGTCTCACGTCCCAGTGGGATTCGAACCCGCGATGTAAGGAGTAAGCCCTTACTTAGCGACTCTAGAGAAGACGATCTAAACACTGCGCCACGCGGGCAACCATGCTGTTTCAAGATAAATTTCAGAATCACAAAGACTCTTGCTTTAAAGAAAAATACATTTTTTGTCTTTCAATTATGTTTTCTCAAACACATGTGTAAGCATTTCAATACTACAGTATCCTAAAATTATTTTACATGACAAAATCAAAAATTTTCAAAATCAAGGACCATAAAACTATGTTCCGTATTGATTAATCTATGGTGTTATATAGCTGTACATGTGCGATTTTAAAAAAATGGCATTTCAAAATCAGAATTTTCTTCTATCTTGTCAAAATATCAAAGTTTACACAATGTCAAGCATATTAATAACAACACTCGTTATCGAGAGACCTTGAGAGATTATGATTGA